GAGAATGTAGTATGGAAGCTCAAATAAACCAGTACGCATCTTAGGAAACCAACAAGAAACTAGCTCGACCAAACGAAGAAACTAGGTCTAAAATAAAGATTTAATGTATTGAACATTTTAGAAAAGAAAAGTAAGTTATAAAGGAACTAGAAATACAAAAAAAATATATATGAAAACGGTTGAATAAAAAAATGAAAATTTATGGATAGAACAATTATTTTCACAAAGAGAATCAGAAAATTGATTTACACATCCAAAAGTAAACTATATATTATAAAGACAACGCCGAAAAAGGCAATCTCACGCTAATAGGCTTATAGATGAGTTGGCTTTCAAGCCCAACTAGTCAGTGTCCTATTATCGTATAACAGGCTGTCAAAGCCACGATCCTATCATATTACTATCACAAGCACCAAGCTGATCTCTTCGAATTTAAAATCCTTTCAACGCCAGGAGCGGTCAAATTTTTACATTTAAGAATTAAACGACGGCAACTTCTCAGGATTGTTCAAGAAATATGCAGCAATGGCGACTAGAATGATGAATATCACGATCCATATGTTCAATCCTCCTGCAACCAAACCGATAGCGTGTCTCATTTCTAAATGAACTATAGTTGCAACAGAGTGAGGTACCAATTAGAGCAATTAGGTGTTTTCTAGTAGACAAAATAGATTCATAGAAAGTTCGACATTCATCCTAATCATCCTAATGTCATATGGTTGAAATCCGAATTGATTGTTGTTTGAACTTAACTTTTTCTCAGGAAAGCCTGTGACGCTCCAACAGTAAAACCCAATCATTAAAAATGCCAACAAAACACTAGAGGAAACAATTAAATAGAGCTCAAGAAGGTCCCCCAAACAGTGATGGTGTTCTACTTGCTATGTTCAGTGATAGTAAAAACTGAATTGCAATTTGGCTGCTTATATTACTTGAGACCTTGACAATCGAAAAGGCCTCCAATCATAGGCAAGGTTTTCTAGCATGATGGTTTAACTAGGCTGTCAAGGGAAGTCCAACAATTACCATGAAAAGTTCGGAGGGATACAACTGAATTATCCAACCAAAAATTGTTGGCAAGAACTTACCAGTTTTCTTCTCATCCTCAAGTGTGGACACCCTTGCACTTGAGTCCAGGGATGCGGAAGCCAAAGCTCTGCATTTTAGAATCACATGCTTCACAAACAGTTCATAGAAGGCGAAAATGGATTGCTGCATAATCATAACCATAGAAGAAACATAATGTTGATATGTTGGTTTACCTTGAATCACGAGAGAAACTCAATGCAGTTACAAAGCCAAGGTGTGCTTTCTTAACCACTTTTTGAATCCGCATTCTGGTTGAATTTACTATCACAAGATCTCCTTGAGTAGTCCCACTGTGTTTTCATGATAAGATGTGTTAGTTTAGTTTTCTCCTTTTCAAGACACAGAGGAGATATTTTTACCAAAGGATGGAAAGCAGTGAAAGCAATTGCTTCATGCTAGATTGCAATTGGATGTAAATAGTGTTAAAAATGGTGATTTCAAATGACACCATATGTTGTTACCCAAAAAAATACAACAACATATGCAATCATTTGACACATTGTGTAGTGTGAAAAGCATCTAAAAAAACTGTTAATAGTACGGATCCAAGATAATATTACCAAGCAAGGAGCTTTCCATCAGCTGAAACATCAAAGGCACAAATAATGTCACGTGCAATAGTCTTTGATCCAATCCTCTTCCAAGTGGTTGTGTTCCATGTCACAATGCTTCCAGATTTATCTGTATTATATAATACAGCCATATGTTGTTACCCAAAAAAATACAACACCATATGCAGTCATTTGACACATTGTGTAGTGCGAAAAGCATCTAAAAAACTGTTAATAGTACGGATCCAAGATAATATTACCAAGCAAGGAGCTTTCCATCAGCTGAAACATCAAAGGCACAAATAATGTCACGTGCAATAGTCTTTGATCCAATCCTCTTCCAAGTGGTTGTGTTCCATGTCACAATGCTTCCAGATTTATCTGTATTATATAATACAGAGGTTGAAACGGTTAACTCATGGAAAAGTAAGTAGAAAGAGAGCAGTTCTCTAAGAAACAGATGAATTGCTTTTTCCACACGGAATATTTACCTGCAATATATAGAATGTAATTCCCATCACTAATCAAAGAAAATCTGCATGCACAAAAAACCTCGTCCTGCATGTATTATAATTTATAATTATTCTCATTAGTTAGAAACCCACTTGTAGAAGTGTAGTGACTTATAATAGTACAAAAGCATGAGGATCCTCTAATTCATATAGTATGACCAGGAGGTAAAATCAGAAAAGTAGGTTAAATGATTCACAACAGTATAGGGATATCGGTGTCAATAGTTTGATCTACTTTTTTTTTGTTAACGTGTTCAATAAGCATACAATTAAGTACACAAACCATTGTATGTATGTACCAGTAAAAATCAACAAAATCTCCTTGAAAGGGGTATGTCAATCTACAAAGTCAAGGATCATTTGAATCCGCATAAATTTGAAACTCATAATAATTTTATTTATAGAAGAATTTTCAGCAGTTACTCACCTTTTCTGGTGGTAGAGAAGCTGCAACAGTAGACAAAGTTATGTCCCACACCCTACCAGGGCCACTACTTCCCAACGAGACAAGAAATTTCCCGTCAGGACTGCAAGACAACCGGCCCAGACCATCAGCAACAACATTACAAATAAAAGAGGTTGATAGATTTTTTTTTTTTAAATGCCACGACTCTTGCAAACCTGAAATCTAATTGCTTCACTGTAGTATGAGCTTGAGCTTCATTGAGAATAATTTCCATGCTAGGCCACTTGAAAACCCTTAATTTGCCATCCTGTACTGAACCAAATGAGAGCATTATTATACGGTGTGCTACTACTTCTGGAGAAAAGAAAATTTTGCATCCGACATTGATGTCATGTCTAAAAACAATCTATAATATAAAACTGTAACATATAGTGATACATAATGTATAACAAATGTATTTGAATCCAAAAAGAAAAAGTGAAGGGACGGGCTGTACCTCGCCTCCAGCAGCAAGCACGGAACCTTCTTTGTTAAATGCCAAGGCCAACTGTTGTCCAACATCTACCAACTGGTCGAGCACTCTGTCCGACTGCTTCAAACCCAGTTTAGGATCTTCACTGCTTTCTTCGTCCCATTCAAACCATCTGCAGAAGAAAATGGAAATCTACAATTAATATATGCATATGTACGTGAATATAATATAAGAGCATCCTACTGCTCATAAACGTAAAATCAAAATGTGCAGCCTTTCATTTTTTCATGTAAATCTGGTTGGGTTTCAGTTTTCTCAGAGTCAAGGGAATTGATAGATAAAGGTATTGTCTAAGATAAAGAAATGGAAAATTTTGAATGAAAAAGACCTGCAACTATTAGGAAAAGAGCAAATGAGACCGTCACCACTGGGGTGAACCGCCATTCTATAAGGCAAATCCGAGCCAGTGTCCAGCTTAGCCACCTGATAATCAAACAACAAATTCCAAACATGATACCAATTACAATTACAAGGCAGGCAAATTAGGTAATAATCTGTAAAAATTAAGAAGGATGGGATTGGGGTTGGAGTATTACGGGCTGATGAGAGAGAGAAACGGAGGCGGGATCGAATTGGGCGACAAGGATGGCGTTTGGGACGCCGCTGCGACCCTCGCCACCACCGCCGGCCAAAACGACGTGGTTTTGGTTGGGATGTGATTGGGCTGATTCAGTCTCAGTCTGAGATTTGCTTTGATCGTCGTCGTCATCGTCTTGGTCGCGTGGTTGGGATTTGCGGACGTCGGGAGCCCAAGCGGCGACGTAGAAAGGGACGCCGTACTTCTGGTAGTTGCTGGGAGGCTCCATTGCCATTCGGGATTTCAGATCTCTCTTCTGTCTGTGTGAGCGTCGAGTGATGGCGGGTGTAGAGGCAGTCAAAATAGATCGATCCTAGCTTATTACAATTTACAACAAGAAGCAGTCACTTTTTCGTTGTTTAAGTTAACCAGAAAATAGAAAGTGAATAATCTTTATTAACCTCGTCCAGGAATTTGTCTATAACCAAAAAGGTATATTCAATCACAACTTTAAAAGACTTCATAAAAATTTATTAAAAAAATCATTGATTTTAAAAGGAAATGCAAAAAGTGTGGATTTCATTTTAATATACACTAATTAGACCATGAAAAATCTTTGCTACCCCCATAGATTTTGATAGATAGTATTTCTTTTCTCAAGATATGATTTAGCAACTTCTACTACCACCATCTTATCATGGCTATCAACAATGTCGCCACCACCAGCACCACAACAGTCATCATCGTCGCCACCCTCACTAGCAACCCCACCACAACCTCCACAATCACCACTACCACTGTCAGCACCATCACTGCCACCGCCGCCACCACAGCCACCACCACCACCACTACAACCCCACTATCAGCCCCACCATCATCACCATCACTACAACCACCACCATCATCATCACCATCACTACAACCACCACCAGCATCATCACCACCACGCCGCCAGCACCTCCGCCACCACTACCTCCCCCACCATCACCACCACCGTCATCACCCTTAAATTCTTTGTTTTTTGAGTGTTATAAACTCCATTAAAGTCAATAATAAAACTCTAACAAACTCAGTTAAAATCTATACATGAATTTAGTCAAAATCTATTTGGAGTTTGTAGAATTCAGTCAAACTCAATTAAATTCAATTCAACTTTATAACTCTTTTAAAATCATTTAAAATCTAAATTGAATACAACCCCAAAGCAAATATTGTTTCCTTTTTTTCATTCTTATTTTAAAACCAACGCAAATATTGTAATTTATGAATCTTTTAAATGGTTTACCTAAGCCTAAGCTTCTTTTTTTAACGGGGAAATTAACCATAATTTGTCGATTACTCTAATTTTAACTGGGGCTACAGAGAACGAGTCACATCAGCTGAGGCTGTGGGGGTTCAAAGCAAAACGTATATTCTGATATTTTAATGGAATGGGGGGCAGAGCAAGAGCAGCAAACAACTCATCAATAATCTTTCATTGAGTAAATTATAACTTCTAACAAAAAGAGAAAAAATAAACGGAGGAGGAGTGAGTGTATTCTTCTCTGAGTCTCAGCCTGTATGTACTTTTCATTTTCTTTCTTTTCACCATAGTGTAAGAGAATGATCACTTTGATACAATAAATGGCTCTCAAGTTGTGCGTATCACTGTTATGAGTCACATAAAACGCAACTGTGGACTGTAGTTAGGAAGTTACTGTTTTGACTCTGTATAATCAGCAATTGACTTGAACCTGCGGAAGGAGATGAGACAGCCGCAGTAAAAATGATGATATGATCAATGCAACAATAAAGTCTCTTTCTTGCAATGGTAAACAGAAAACAACCGGGACGGCATCACTGACGCTTCCTTTGGTAGAGTGAATAACCAACAAGCGCAGACATCAAAAATGTCCATAGTACCTGCCCACACAAACACCAATGGATGAGCACAACTATTCTATACAGCTCCAGTCCAGTACAACTCTTTGGGGGAAAAGGTATCGTAAGCACCGTGTTGATTGTATGCCACCGCTCAAGTCTTCTAATCCTTGATTGCATGTCTTCGATAACCCCTTCAACCGGAGAAACTTCTCTAATTGGTGAAGATTCAGAAGCTGAACTGCTGCCCTGTTTATGACACCATTACATTTTCAATCAATGTTAGAAATGCAGCATGCACTGAAAAAATGCTTTAGTTTTAGATGCAAAAATTGCAAGACTTCGAGACCTGCGAACATGTGATATGTCATATCCATTAACTTGATAGAAAAATACCTGAGATTGAATAAATTCCACAAGTTCCTGCAACCTTGCAGCTTGCTGAGTGTGAATTCCACCTAAGCCTCTTCCTGATGCTGGCAATCTTTCCAGCACTATTTGAAGATAGCTCTACAACAAACAAACAAATCAACTACCAACTCAGATGAAATTGAATCAAAACAAACAAACAAACAAACCAGAAAGAAGAAAGTGATTTTGGGTTGGGATTAAGAATGGGAAACAGCATAGAATAATTAAAGGAAAAACCTTTGTAGTATATGAACCATCTAATTTAAGCATTGATCCTGCAGCTGCTACAGCATCTTTATCAACCCCCTTGATTTGCAGGTAAGGGTTCGGGGCATCTTGTAGATGATCAACCTCAATCAAAATCTAAAGAGGCATGAAAACTTAAGCTAATATTGCTACCACAATTGAAGTACTTTCCAAATAGAATACATGTTCAAGAAGAAATAAATCTCATAGAATTTGATCTGACCTTTCCATCTTGATAGATGAAAGCAGATGCTTCAATATAAGCTACAGCTTGATACCTGACATAAACAAAAGATAAGAAAGTAATGATAAAAACAATTCTAATAATAATAACAACAACAACAATACAACATAATTCATCATCCAACATGAAGAAAATGTGTCCACCCATGAATTTTATAATTCAAATATGTTGCTTACCCAAGGTTAAGAAGCCCAGCAACTGTACTAATGCTAATATCAAAATCCACTTTAGGTTGGATGATGAAGTTTCCTTCTCTTATAGGCTAAGCAAACAAATTCAGGAAACAGAAACAAAGAATGGAATGTACACTGTGGTTAGAGAGAACGAGCACTGTATTTATTAATAATAAAAAGCAACTTATAACCAGGTCACATTACAAACCTCCCGTATCAGCAACGCGAATCTGCCCTCACATATTCTGACCCGAATGCAGTCACCCTCTGTTAACTGCCCATTAGTAGGAAGTCCAGGAAGCTTCAAGTATATATCAATGAAATTCTGGACAGAGCTGCAGAACTTTGCAGGATCCAGTATTTTCAAAATATCTTGATAAGCCACCTATGACCAAATGGAAATAGTGTAAGTATGTAAGGTGAAAATCATATTTTATGAGTTCAAGACACATGCAAGATGATACCCTTACTTGCTTGTTACTCTTCAATACAAACAATGAACTCTCGGGGGAAAGCACGGGATCAAAGTCATTTCGAATTTTGAGCTGTATTGAGATAAGAAGAAATTGAAGCACCAAAAATAGCCCTTGAAAGTTGCAACCAAATTTCAGCAGTAAAATAAGTTTCATAATGGATTAGTCTAGATCAAGGGTTCGATTCCCTCCATTGTAACAAAAGAAACAATAAGTTTCATAATGGAAGTGCCATAGATTGGTTCCAAAATCCAATTGAACTTAAGAAGGTTAAAGTCCACTAACGTGTGCATGAACAAGATGAGGTTCAATGAACTGCTGGAACATTGGAAACACTGTCATCATGATCTCATTCTGGGACATAAAACACCCCACTCTACTTTTGTCCCTTTGAACTCTAGAAATGAGATGTGAATGAACACCTCCAACCTGACAGCCAAAAAACAAGAATGAACACTTCCTGGCCAGTCTTTCTCAAAAACACCTGAAACCGACTTAGAAACACAGATTCATGGATATTAAAGCTTTAAAGGTGCAACAGGGGTTATACTTACAACAGCAATCCACAAGTCAAGTGATTTTCGGATATCCGGATGCAAAGCATAAACTCCTTCAAAAATAATCTGCTTGTATATAAAAAATAAAAAAAAATTAAAGCATAAACTAATCGAATTGTTTTGTCAAAAGCAGGGAAAAATAGAATATTATTCCAAAAGGAGCAAGCCAAATTGTGAAAGCACTAGTAGATCTGTCTGATAACTGACCACTCCACAGTCTTCAGAAACTTCAAGTTCCTTGAAGCCACTCTGAACACCAGTTTCCAAATCAAATATGGGTACTTTTGTCCTTTGACCATTCCTTATGTCATCAATGTTCTGCACATGGTAATGTAATAACACTAAGTACTACAACAACAAAGGCAGACACTAAATCAATGGAATTGTATCTTCATTATTGCAATCATATTTTGTCAGTTAAGATGTGATTCAGCAAAGGTAAAATGATATTTCACAATAGCAAGCCAACGAATTGGCACAGTTGTTGGCAACTGGGAAAACAAATTAGAAATGTATGATTTTCGATAGGCCTTCAAGGCTTCAACAACCTGAAGGCCTATCGAAAATGGGGCATATGAGAGAATAACATGGAAAGAGGAATCTTTTCTGTTTTTTTCTTGGGGTTGCATTTCATTGTCTAGCATGACCATAGCAATAATCTGATTGGCCACCCCATATGGCCCAAAGTTACAACTCAAAGAAGAATACCAAACTAGTCAAAATGAGCCAATCATCAAACCTTACTTTTGAAAGCAAAGATAGATCGAGCGAGCTGAAGTCGTCATACTTGAAATCTTTTACTTGTTCAGATTTATAATAGCTTTCAAGGGAAACAACTTCACAACCAACTATGTTTGCCATTTTATGAGCCAAACTAGTTTTTCCAGAACCACTTGGACCTCCTACAAGAACAATCAGGAACAACATAAGAACATACCTCATGCTCAATTAATTTCGGATGCTAACAGGCAATAAGAAATAACAATTTTTAAAAAAAAAATAGGACTGTATTCTACTGTTTTCAGACTTGAATAGCATAACAAGAACAATGGCCATCCCTGACAAGCAAAAGCTCAAAACATGAGAGATGGAGAGAGAGTTAAATAAAGCCTGTATTACCAATTCCAACTATAACTGGAAAACCTTTATTCTCCAACAGTGCCTGAAAAAGTAAACACTAATACATGAAGTTCCTATCCAAGTAAAACATATTAATACATATTTTAAATATTTCTATTCATATAAACTTTGTAAATATATTCAAGGCTCACTAATACCCATCTTCAATGCTTCAGTTCCAACTGTCTACACAAGACCACTAGTATGTATCAATATCAGACCTCATGTTAAAACATTGGCATATATCCAAAAACAAATGCTATAACCACTCTAGTAAAAATGCAAAGTTCATACTTTTCTATTTGTGCCCCTCAGCACCATGAATGTCTCACCAAGGGTATCAATGGTTTCAAGCGACAATGAAACATTTCCATTATCAACCGATTTAGATGCTCGTTTGTAACTAACAACCACAGCATATCCCAAAGCCAGTAACCCACCTAAAGTCATCCTTCCAACCTGCTTCCAATGTTAAACAGTAGCAAACAGGTAAGAGTTACTGAACATCTAGAAACTCTACAGTAGTATTACATAAAGAGTAGTCCTTTACAAAAATTAAACATAGAAATAGGCATCTCCTGTAAAAATTCCAACCAATGACCCTTCTATTTGCTCATCACTGACCAGAAGGCTTCATAAGAACCATTAGTCAAGCATGTAGAATACACGTAAAACAGAACGCAGAGAGATGAAGAACTGACCCAATGTATATCCAAATTATCAAGTGGCTTTATTTATTATAATGTCTATACTATGGTCAAAACCTATGAAAATACTTCTTACCTCAAATTCAGCTTTTGGCCTGATAATGAAATTTTTGTCAACAATCCTCTGGTCCCCAAGTGACAGATAATATCTTATACCCGATTGGCGCACCTTGATCCAATCATTTATCCGTGCTTCTTCACTTGCTGAAGGAGGCCTAAGATACATCTCAATGAAACTGAGAGAAAATAAATTATGTAGAACTTTTAGTTGCTATAGAACTAAAAAGTTTAGGAAGGAAAGCAATTCACTTTCTTTAGTTCCATATTATTATAAATAAAAAATAGCCAAGAGATAATCGAATTTCCAACCAGACTCACTTATCTATTTGAGCTTCATTTCCTTGAAAGGCATAAGCAAAATGTTCTTCTGCTGCCTGTAACAAAACTTTGAAATTTTAGTCAAATTAGTAAAATCCCTATCCAAAACAAAAAAATGAAAAGAAATAAGATGGAGCAACAGTCGGTAAAAGCCACGAGCTACAAAGAAAAAATAACATGGCAATTGACAAATACAGTTCTTAGCACAACTTGAAGTAACATGTAAGCCTCACTGTTGCCATCAAAGAAACTAATGTTCATAGAAATACACATTACAAAGTACAGAAGTTCAGTTAAAAGATTTGATAAGGTGTATCATCATGAAAATTCACTCAATTCAACTAGAACTTTATCTTAAAAAGCTTGGGCCAGTTTGTTCCCCACCAAAACAAAAGAAAAAAACTTGGGCTAGCACAAAAATCATTTTTTTCAAATCATATAGCTACAAGAGCAATATAAATGAGGAAGGCCCATTTCCTATGCATAAATATATGCCCAACATCACTTGAAAATAAACTAGCAATGCATACAGACCTCACTCCTGCATTTCAGCTTGTAGATTGCCTCCCTAAATGATGAGACAAAGCTGTTGTTAATCCTAATCTGCAAAATAAATGCAATACATTGAGAATCGGCAATAAAATTTCAAGGGTAACAGCAGTCAATTACCAACCTGTGCATGATGAAGGTCTGGTTCAATGTGCTTCCTAAACAATGGGAAAATGCTGTCAATAAGGTAATCCAGTGAACAAGAATCTCCGATATCATATTGAACTTTGGAAAGAAGGCTAAAATGAACACCACCAACCTGATATACCAAAAATACATATAAAATGTCATGTCAACTTTCTGT